AAAGAGAGGAACTTCCCCATAAACTTCTGATTCCTGGAGGGGAAAGCCATGAATCAGGCAGTGGTGAGGATGACCAATTGTATAGCAGGTGCTCATATCTCTGGCCTGTACTGAGCTGTCCTCACAAACTCTGACTTAGCTGTGTCACCAAAGCATACAAACACATGACAAATGTCACACACAATAAGGGATTGACAACTCAGAAAAATCATCTTAAAATGGAAAGATTTTTACTCCAGTCACTGAAGATTAATGTGCTGGTATGTTCTTAATCTGAAATCTTTTCCATAAATAAAATTTTAATTTGGGACATTCCAGCTAGTGCTGAGAGAAAGCATTAGAAATGGATGAATAGATAGATAGAGACACAAGATCTTATTTTTATAAAGCCTTCCATATGTTATTAGGATGGTGTTGGCAGTAGTAGTTATGTCTGAGGAGTTGGTTCCAACTCAGAGTGACCCTGTATAGGGTTTCTGAGGTTGTAAATGTTTACAGGAGCAGAAAGCCTCATCTTTCTCCAGTGGAGAGGCTGGTAGATTCAAACTGCTGACCGTGTGATTAGCAGCCCAATTCATAATGATTTATCATTTGGGTTCTGAAATAATCTTTAATATCCCCAATTATCTCAAAAGACATCATAAAGTTTTCTAAAAGTCTCAAAAGAAAAATGTTGATACATCTCCAGAGGGCTATTAAACTAATCCCTCCCTTTTTCTCTTTCCAGAATTGTACTATGCCAAACTACAAGCTCACTTATTTTAATATGAGAGGGAGAGCAGAAATTATTCGCTATATATTTGCATATTTGGACATAAATTATGAAGACCATAGAATAGAACAAGCAGATTGGCCTGAAATCAAATCAAGTAAGTAACAAAATGAATCGTTCCTGGGAATATGCTTTCAGAGTCTTTTGTCTTTTTTCAGGGAAATGAAAAAGTAAAGTTTTGTTTTATTTAAATCTCATATAGATATAAATTGAAAAACAGCAATTTCTGCAAAACAAGCAAATGCCAATACAACCTAGAAAATTTACTATTAAAGGCAAAAGCACAAACCTCACTAAAAGGAAGTATGAAAAACCAGTATGAAGCTTTGGGAGAGGAACTGATTTGGAAGAATATTTAAGACAGTATTCTTGACAATTGAAATTAGATGATTTAGTTCGATACTCTAATAAAAAACCAAACTCACAAGGTCTTAAATAGTAAGGAAGTTAATTGTATCATTTAAGTTTGGCAGATTTCAAAGGCTGACCTTATCCATTTTCTTCCTCGGTGTTTTGGCTGTGTCATCAGGCTGGTAGCCATATGTTTGCTGGAATTTTATCCTCACAGCGTCCAAGTACAACACTGAGAAGATGAGTGAGAAATTTGAAGAGAAAGAGAGAGAGAATATTTTCTATTTGTGTTTCCCCCAAAAATGAAGAAAAACTTTTTAGAACTCCCCAAGAAACCTCTCACATCTCCCTGGCTCAAATTGAGTTACATAATCTGGTTCTGAATTGGTCACTGAAAAGAGGATGGGAATAACCTTAGAATACAGTTCAATCAACCTCTGGATCCATCTTCATGAAACATAGGGTTATATGAGAGCGAATGACTACAGAACACAACTGGAATTTTTTGGTTAGAGGAAAAAGCAAATTGTCATTGGATAGACAACTCAAAGGAAACATACCACTTAGGACTTAAAGATGCCAGGGAAGAACTAGAAATATTATTGCAGTAAACAACATTGCCACCATTCATCTGTCAGCTTGTCATACTGTAGTGCATTTCTATGATGCTGAAAGCTATGCTGAAAGTATTTCACTACTAGCAGGGTCACCCATTGTTGACACCTTTCAGCAGAGCTTCTAGATTGACAGACTAGAAATAGAACAGCAGACCACTTTCTGAACCATTAGCCACTGAAAACCTTATAAATGTCAGCAGAACATTGAGTGCTATAGTGCTAAAAGATGAACCTTCAGACTGAAAAGCTCTCAAAATACGACTGGGGAAGAGCTACTCCTCAAAGTACTTGCTGTTTTTCTTAAGAGCGATATAGTGACCCTAAGCATAATGGTATGAAACCCTGTCTAGTTCTGTGGCAACCTCACAATTGTTACATTTGAGCCCATTATTGCTGCCACTCTATCAATCAATTTCGTTGGGGTCTTCCTCCTTTTTGCTGACCCTTCATTTTATCAAGCATGTTGTCCTTCTCCAGAGACTAGTGCCTCCTGATAACATGTTTAAAGTATGAGAGATAAAGTCTCACCATCTTGACTTCTAAGGAGCACTCTGGTTGTACCTCTTCCAAGACAGATTTGCTGATTCTTCTGGCAGTCCGTGATACTTTCTATATACTTCTTTAACACCTTAATTCAAATACATTGATTTTTCTCCTATCTTCATTATCCATTGTCCAATTTTCACAAACAAATGAAGGTCCCAAGGGCTTTACTCCTTTGGTGCCATCACAGTTAACTATACTTTGAGGAGGCAGTTCTTTCCCTGTCATATTTTTAGTGCTTTCCAACCTAAGACACTCATCTTCTGGTACTATATCTGACAATATGATGGCACTCTTCATCTTGTTTG